ATCCTGTTTTTTTTTTTCATTTCAAATTACTAGGAGAGCTGCAATCGTGGGCACGATCACATGCCAATTTTTTGTAACACTCCACTTCAAATGCTAATTTTTAAAATTAACATTTATTTACATTTTTTCTGTACTCTTGTAACGTTGATAAATAAATTATAAAAAAATAATAGTAAAAAATTTATTTTGCCTCTACAGTAGAATGCCCCCTTATTTTTTCATATAATATAAATTTAGCCTTAGAATATGTATGAGGAAAATAAAATATTTTGGTATCTTCAAAATGTCTTCTGATAACAGGATATCAGAATCAGAATGATTTACAATTGTTAAAAATCCTTAAAGTCTTATGTATTTGTTCTTCATACTTAAAATGCCTGATTAATTAACAAAACTAATAGTTAATTATTATTTTACAGAGCTGGGTAATATTCGCGCGTTCTGCATCGCTATGCCCCTTAATCAACCGCAATTCATCTACTGAATCAGGCAACTCGGAAACATCTTCTACTCATAATTACCACAATTGTTATGATACAATAAATTCCAGAGGTGGTTCATCCTCCAAGCAGAGAAGCTGTTCCATGTCAGATGATATCCCATTATTACTCAATGCTTCTAGTCCGTACAGTTCAGCATACCGAGCAGGAAATGCAGACAATGAATTGGCGACCACAGAATTGGCTTCTTGTTCGAGATCCATGACTGGTGCAGACGTCATATGCACCATAACAAATTAGAAAGTAATGTGATATTAACTTTGGTTTAGTGAGAATCTGCTAATGTGTTGTGATGATTTGATAAATATATCATCAATGTGTTGTTGGTGGAATGAAAATGAGCAATTAGCGTGTGATAAAAATGTGATCAGATCCAGGTGAACTTCTAAAGCTTGATGGATTATATACTACTTTTATTATATTCATTTGAATTTCAATAGAATTAGTAGATTTATTCAATGTTAATTCAAAATTTAAAGAATTTTCAACACATTATTATTTGTTAAAGTGTTAAAATATATTAATATAATGAAATTAGTCAACAATTGTGAATCCAACAATAAGATAATTCTCTAGTTCGCATGAAATCATCAAAGATCCTGTTACGACAAAATGTAATATCCAAAGTCAGAATTTAATCATTCCAATTTTTCTACTTGTCCATATTTCATTTGTTTATATTCAAATTATTAAGCAAAGAAAAATATATTAGTTAGTTTTCTTTTCATTATTCTTTGTCATACTGAAGTCAACTGAATTCAATTTTATTATTATTATGAATATCACGTTTAATTAATCAAAGATTGAAATTAAAACTATAGAGCCACATGCAAAAACACAAACTATTGAAACTAAATAAAATTAAATAAGCGTAACAAATATTTTTGATTATTATAATATTCTTCCAGGTGTTTCTAATCATACTCCTATACTGTTTGGATTATAAATATGTTTCTAATATATTTTAAATAAATGAATCAGGCGTCACTAATTATAAAACATGGTCTCAGCATATTAATAACTATTTCACAAAGACACAATTCAATAAATTGTTGAATGCTGAATAATGTTTGGAAAAATAATTCTAAAAGTGTATTATAACCAGCATTTCAACCTTGTTGATAACCGCAATAAATCAATGGATTATTAGAAAGTCTTATTTTCTGAAAAATAATAAAAACTTTTCTATATCATGTAATTAACAATAGTGCAAAACATGCACTGCATATATATATATATATATATATATATATATATATATATTATTCACATAATGATGTATGGTTGTGAAGAATGTGTGTACAAATGCATATAACTTTTAAGATGATCCGATATTACTTTGTTCGGATAGCAAATAGCATAATATTGAATATTTATGAACACTCAGTAATCTCTAGTAATTCACAATGTGATATCACTTAACTTAATAGAAGTTCTCTATAAGTTCTATAATAATCCAAAATATAATTCGAAGGTCGAAAGAAGATTTGTGTAAACTTCTTTCGTATAGAAATTTAGCACATGAATAATAATTTATAATATTTTCATCAACAATTATCAAATGAAAATATGAATTTGAAACTTTCAAAGTTTATAAATATATACATGTACATAGCACAAAATAGTAGATATAAATAATTTAATTCTATTTACATATTTTATCAGTGTTATAATTTCTTGTTGAAAAATTATTGAATAAAATTACACAAAAATATTATGTAAATGTAACTTAAAATAGATATACTCACACTTCAAAATATCCTGATTTACTTTCTTTAACACACTATTCCCAATTGGTTTATTTTCAGTCAACTTTTATTGTAAACTCCTCAATATGTGTATAATATTTCAACCTGAAAAGACAAATTCTTTATTTAAATATCGCTAAAACATCATGAGAGGTTTCACACTAAGGTAACAAATTGATTAAACATTTTAGAGTTTTAAAACGTCACATAACTAAGTAATTGAATAAACAATTTATATTCATTCATTTTCTTCATATGAGAATAAAAAAGAGAGTACTAAGCACAATAATAAATATAAAATATTTGTGATGTAAATAAAATAAAATAAGGAAATAGTAAAATCTGTGCTTTTTTGATGATAACCATACAACACAATAATAAAGATGGGACATCTACAACGACAACAATAAATAACTCTTTAGAAATAGTAGTAATATTAAAAAGTATTATTTATAAGAAATAGGCCGATGGAAATATCAATTACAGAAGAAACGTGACATTCTTAAAATACATTTATATAAATTTCCAACATAACAGCAAAATACTCTTTATAGCAAAGTGTACAAATGATATTTTTACCTATAACCCCGTAATTTTGACAGCAAAGCAATATTTTGTTTAGCAAGAACCTCAATGCAAATAAACCAAATTATTGGACATTTACATAAATTATTAAAAATCGAAACACAATCACTTAAAATTATAAGAAATTGGCGATACTCTTGCAAATCTAATCTTGTGGCATTCCTACTTAGGCTGATGATAGGTGCACCCTGGTACATGCGCAACTAAACTCTGCATTAGATTTGAGGGTGCTATATATTAAAAACTTTATAAAAGCAAGCCCCACTAATAATCATCACAAATTAGAAAGTCACCCAAATTAACTGATTGCTCTGCTGCTCCATTCATAATAAAGACGACTGAAGAAATTATGGCAAATTAACTAGATCCAGTACAACTCTAAATACCTACTGAGGTAATTACTTTTGATAATTATATTTAATTAATGTCAATCAAAATAACTAATTGAATGTACCTAATGTTTTGATTGTCATCAATAATAAAAGAAATAATAAGAAAAAACAATATCATAAGATTTAAATCATAGTTTTAAATGAAATGATTGAACATGCATATAAATTATTAGAAATAAATCACAAGGGGGAAATCAATAGGGGGTGCTCTAGCAATTCTAATGTGACATCGTTTCAGCTGACAATAAAAAACTACTTAGCGGACAAATCGAAACTACTCAGGGTGATGACAGGTGTATCCTGGTACGTGAGCAATAAAACTCTGCATGGTGATATGAAGGAGCTTTATATTAAAGACTTTTTGAAAACAAGAACCACTAATCATCATCACAAATCAAAAAGTCACCTCAATTCACTCGTTGCTCCACTGCTCCATACATAATAAAGACGACTGAAAAAAATTATGGCCGATTGACTTGATCCAGTAAAACTCTATCTAATAGTAAACACCTACTGGGGTAACTACTTTTGATAATTATATTTAATTAATGTCAATCAAAATAACTTATTGAATGTGCCTAATGTTCTGATCGTCATTAATAAAAGAAATAATAAGAAAAAACAATATCATAAAATTTAAATCAGAAATCAAATCGCAATCCCATAAAATTAAGAATTTAGAGGTGCTCTAGCAAATATAATGTGGCATTGTTTCAGCTGACAATAAAAAACTACTTAGCGGACAAATCAAAACTACTCAAGATGTAGGTGCACCCTGGTATGTGAGCAATAAAACTCTGCATGGTGATATGAAGGAGCTTTATATTAAAGACTTTTTGAAAACAAGATCCATTAACCATCATCATAAATTAGAAAGCCACCCCACTTCACTCGATGCTCCACTGCTCCATACATCAGAATTAAGAAGATTAAAAAAATTATGGTCCAATAATTGATCTAGTAAAATTCTACCTAGTAGCACTACTAGATAGGTATTCAAATACCTACTGAGGTAAATACTTTATATAATTATATTTAATTAATGTCAATCAAAATAACTAATTGAATGTACCTATTGTTCTGATTGCCATCAATAATAAAAGAAATAATAATAAAGAACAATCTCATAAGAATAATTTTAAATTTCTATTAATCACTATGTTTGTAAAACAAACTCGACGCCATTACAGGTGGTTACAATAATAAATGTTTTGAGAGATTTTAAAAGAAAAATAAACATTTTTCTATTACAGAAAAAAGTGTACAGGAATATTAAAATTAATATATATGTGATTTGTTCCTTTGTTCAATGTAATTAAAGAACATTCTCTTATTTATGTGCAAAGAAAATACCTTTAAATTTAGTTATGACGAATGACTGTGCTTTTCAACCATTTTACAACAATTACTATTAGATACATTAATAGGAACTTCAACAACGCAGAATATTGTTATATTTTTCAAAATCGTAAGAAGGGTAATGAAAAATAATGACTATACTTACGGATTATTTTGTGCACAGGTAATTGATAACACTTTTGAATATTTTCTACACCAAACTAATAAAATGTTTATAATTTATGACGCAACAATAAATTCATTTCATAACGAAATCGTCAACTGTTACTACGCAAATGTCAGACAAAAAGTACGCTGTGAAGTTGACAATGACAGAAGCAGTGTCATTGTCATTGGACAGGTGGCGACACTGGTAAATGTCAAAATGACAGTTGTCTGCGTGACATTCCTAACAGGTTTTTTATATACTCGGCTTTCTCCATTAATTTGTGATGTATCTAGTTTAAATGTTTTATATCAAATATAGTGTTTTATAAAACTGCTACAGTTCTGCTAAAACTTTATCACGAAGCCGAAATGCTCAGTGTCAATGAGCAAGATGATAAAAAGGTAAGTGCATTGTTACAAATTTATAGGTTATGGTTTGTTTATTGTTAGAATCTTGTTGGATTGCTATTTATTTTTTTTACTATTACAAATTATGCTAAATTCTATATTGTACGTTATGTATTTAAAATTCACTGGTTGTTTTAAAAACAATTTTATCAATTCATTTTTATTATATGGATTATTTTTGTGACGTCGGCAAAAATATACCAATTCGTTTACTTCTTGTTTTCATTGTTATTATGAATTATGCTATATAGACTATGGCTATATTTATTAGGGAATATTAATATAATATATTTCTGATGCGTTTGTAAAGTCTTTACAGATGTCTTCTATTTTTTTTAATTAATTCATTATTATTATATTATTATATTCATTAATTACAACATATAATTATTGGAACATGTATTGAATTATTAAGATTTCTATTCTATTCATAAATCGTACATAGTCTTAAGCAATTATTTACAGATTATTGACAATGATGTTTGTATTGACATTGGTTTGATTAGGAATGTCTATTCATTAATACATTTATACTTAACGATTCAAATAAACCTGCAAGGCCAGATTTTTAGAGGTCGTTTGTGCATTCATCCGAGATAACTGTATTTGTCTTATATTACTTATTCTTTTTATATTATATAACACATATTCTTTTCATAAAAATATAAATTTTACTGAGTTAATAACGTATATATTATAGATTTATGTCTTTTTGTTGGACTCTAAAATTATTAAAATGAAACTAAATTTAAACATTAATAAAAAAAACTGAAATTATAAGTGTACAAGTGGTCAGAATTCATTACATAAATTCACTAATTAAAAAAAACTAAATATATCGCATTGAAGCTTAACAACGATTTTTCTATAAACGATAGCAAACAAATCTAAATTAAATATTCAAATGAATTAACTGATCTGCATTTTAATTGAAAATGATTAAGAATATAATGAATACTAATGTTTAACTAATAATTAAATTAATATTCATATTATATATTCGTTAAAAACATAATATTAATACATATAAAGCAAAACATTCATAGTCAAATATGCCGCGTTAATAATTTGATTAAATATTTTTTTCTTAATTGATTTTTTTTTATTTTTGTTGTATACGAATTGAAATAAAATGCTTTCTGTTGAGTAATTCTAAAAGATAATGACCAAATTAGTTATCCGAGAACATTGCAAAGTGAATGAATGCATGTAACATTTAAATAACATCTTATATATAAAAATGAATCGCAAAATGTGTTGGTATAAGCGCATAACTCAACAACGGCTGGACCAATTTGGCCAATTCTTTTTTTAAAATGTTCGTTGAAGTCCAAGGATGTTTCTTACGGCGAGAAAAAATCGATTAATTGCCGGGAAAACCCTAAAAACAGCCCTTTTCTTTTTCTTAGCTGAGATGTGCCAGAAATTAAAATAATATAAAATACAGTATATGTATGGCAATATGGACCGAATATGACAATTTAATTCACTTAAAATATGACATTAAGTATTAATCAGGGTCGGTCTCACCTTTAATGCGATGCATGCGAAAAATACGAGCGCACGCCTTAGGGGGCGCCAACATAAGATTCGGATATTAAATTTTCAATATAGTTTTTTTTAAATATATAATTTCTTTGCAACTTTTACTAATATTTCCACAATATTTTTAAAATTCGTAAAAATTTTACTTTATAACAACAAATTAGAAAGTAAAGATGAATACATACAATTCGGCCCTCACGATATCGATTAGGAGAAGCTTAAGATGCAATTTTGGATATCTTAAATAATAAAAAATTAAAATAATTCAATCCAACATGAAGTACCAGTGTTATGTTATGGTTATGTTATACGTTATACCGTTTAAAAGACTTCAATTTCCAATATAGTGTGGGAATTGAGACTCATCATTTTATTTAAAGCAGTTCTACATTTAACATTGCTCATATTGAAAATGTATATGCATTTTGGCGTGAAGAGTAATTTAAAAAACAATAATTATTATTTTTAAAGCAGTAAACATTTTTGGTCGTTTATTTTATCAGATTTTTCAAGCCAAGCACTGAAGAAAATATTGAATATGCTCTTCATACATTTTCTTACTTGCAATAAGAACCATATATATTCTATGAGCTGTTGGAGTGTGATTGTTTAAATTTATTATTTAATAGAATGATTTTTTATTAGATTCTGATTTAGCACTGATTTCAATTTTGCAATGCCTTTTCGAAGCTGTTTTCTATTATCATAATTTACATGTAAAATCTCTATTAAGTGTGATCTCTAGATATCATTACTGTCCTATACCAAGCTGACCAAAGTGTGTATGGAACCTGGAACCACCTCGTTCTAACCACAGGGTAGCAACTGCTCTTTATACTAAATAACGTAATAGTCCATTCATTTAAGCTCAATTTTTTTTTTTTTTTTTTTTTTTTTTTTTTTTTTTTTTTTTTAACTCATTTTATTTAGCAATCAGAAATACATTAAGATTCCTACGAGCTAAAATGACAATGTAAGAGCGAAGCCTAAGAAGAGCTCCAATGAGATCTTCTCAGTTTAACAATTGCTATAATAATATTATATTAGACCTAATCTAAGACTAAGTCTAAAGGCCATTGTCGTTTCAATCTTCTTATACCATAAGGTTTAGTAATTTCAACTATAGAGGGGTTCGAATGTGAGTCCAGTTTGCGTTTGTATTTTCATTGAATTCTTGGAAAGTTAAATGCACCGTTTTCATCTTGAGGTCGCTGTGAATGGTTTCATTTGTTACGTACCATGGAGAATTAAGAATTGTACGTAAAATTTTTGACTGAGTTCTCTGCATTATAGCTATATTAGATTTGTAAGCACATCCCCAGAGCTCAATTCCGTAAGTCCAGATTGGTTTGATAATTGATTTATATAGCAGCAACTTATTTTCAACAGCGAGCTTAGACTTTTACGCAGAAGCCAATCAAATTCTTTCATTTTGATCATTATTTGCTGCTTTTTTGTTTTTATGTGGCTTTTCCAAGTAAGTCTGCTATCTAAATGAAGACCAAGATATTTCACTATGTTCTGTTTCGGAATCTGGACGTTGTTTAAATAAATTGGAGGACAAGTACCCTCTCTCAGGGTAAATGTGATATGAGCTGATTTGGTTTCATTTATGCAAATCTTCCATTTGGCAAGCCACATTTGTAGTTTATTGATATGTTCTTGCGTTTGTCGGGAAGCTTGATCAGCACTGTGATTACTACTTAGTATGGCAATATCGTCAGCGAATGTAGCAAGTGTCAGATTTTCAAGTAATGGGAGGTCCTTTGTGTATAAAACATATAAGAAGGGTCCAAAAATACTACCTTGTGGAACTCCTGACATTATTTTGTGGAAATCAGATGTTACTTGATTTACTTTTACTTGAAAAATCCTATCTTGTAGATATGATTTGAAAATCCCATAATACCTGGATGGAAGGTATGTTTTTATTTTATATAAAAGTCCTGGGTGACAAACCTTATCGAATGCTTGTCGAACATCCAGGAAGACACCACTACAGAAATGCTTATTTTCAAATAAGGTAAGAATCTCGGAATTTGAGATACGCAGCTGTAAGTCTGTAAATACTTGTATATTGACACCCTAAAGTTGTCTCAAAACCTTACATATGGTAGAGTGTTAATACCATATGTAGGTTTTGAGACAACTTTTGGGTGTCAATATACAAGTATTTCCAGATTTACAGCTGGGTATCTCGAATTTCGGGGTGAACTTACTATAAAAACTGGACTTTAATAAATAATTGTTTTAAAAGTGCTTATTATTGTTGATTTTATTTATTTCTTTTTTTCTTGAATAGGGAACATTTGTTTAATTGTAAAATTTAATCAGCTGTTATGGTGGAGACTTGATGCCTTTAAACGTTATCAATAATTTTTATTTGATATTGTTTTTTGTTTATGAGATTCAAATTGGAAAATCTACCCCAATTTTTTTCGTTTCGTTTATTCCGATTTGGTTTAGCAGTTATTAAAATTGCTATATTTGCCATTCATATATTTGCGCTGTTTCAGCATTTTTGAAAAACTATGTATGACTCTGAACGTAAGTTTAATGAAATGGTATTATTATATTGTATATATTTAATCATATTTTTTTTCAAATCTAAATTGCATTTCAAAAAAGATCTTAATTTTATCAAATATGACAAGATTACAGAAAGCTATGTAGATTTTGATGTAATTTACACATTATGGCAAAGATATAATGAATGAACAGCATTTGATAGCAATGACCTTAAAAAAATGAGAAGAATTCTTCTTATTAATTACTTATCGATGTTATAATTAAAATTAAAGTGTCGAAGGTTACTTGAATAAAGTTCAGGGAAAAATATTTTTTGTGTATAGTACCTTATACATTCACCTTTATTTTTGTATATTACATGTGAAACTATAAATCTTTTCAGATAATTAAGACATTAAAAACTTACACATAATCGTTTTACATACATGTACAAAAAACTTTCAAATTACCAAACTTCGTATGTATTTCATTTTTTTATGGAAACAAATAATAACTCAAGCATATATGTAATGTATATCGATACAACCTACATATAAAATATGTTTGGTATCGAAACAGTGCTAGTGAACTGAAGATGTTTTAGATATCATAATTGTAAATCACAATTGTATCTTTACTTTATCTTATAGTTGAAAAGAACATGAAGATAAATAGTACAGATATAGATAAAGCATTTAGCATACTGAGTGTTAAAATATATTTAGTAGGGCATTTGAAAAAAAATTCACTAGATAGTTGAAACAAATAATTTGTTTCAGTTACAAAGGGTATGGGCTTGTTTCCATACAGAAGAGGCCCCAAACTGGTTCCCATTTTCGAGAAAATTCGTTATATCAAATTTCATATCCGTTGCTCATCATTTGGCCGTGATATCATTGAAAATATATGAAAGTGACCCCTTTTTTCAAAGTCGTGTTTTG